CGACTTTAATCTCAGAATTCTGACATTTTTTCCTCAGGTTTCCGACTTTAATCTCAGAATTCTGACTTTTTTTCCCCTCAGAATTCCAACTTTAATCCCAGAATTTTGGATCTTAATCTTAAAGGGCACCCCAAAGGAAGACATGTGGGAGCACTCAGCTTCACTAACAAATATGTGGGTTGTTTGGCCAGTAACACATTGGTGGAAAATTATGGAGTTAGGCAACTTTTTATGTGCCTGAGGCGTCCCTGATGATGCTATTTCATTAATGTAAGAGCAGTTAGTTTAGTCTTTAGACATGGCTACGGCTTGATGCTAACATGTTTGTTAGCTGTCAGAATTCAGTCAGAATTCTGAGAAAAAAGTCAGAACTCTGAAATTAAAGTCAGAACTCTGAGATTAAAGTCAGAATACTAAACTGAAATAATATTTAAAAATCAGTTAACTTCTTTTTTTTTTTTTTTCTCGGCCTAATCCTCTCCTGTACATATATAAAGGGACACCCAGTGATTTCAAACAAGCCAGGTTCACTTTATTTGATCTCACTGCAGAATAAAAACCCCTCCAGCTTAGTTGCAACAGACTGATCTGTTGTATAAACGCAGCATTGATTTACATGTCCAAACAGCTCTGCAGGTCCCAGAGCTAAATTTGGAAGGAGCCTTGACCAGCAACCCCATCACTGTTGCTAGGGAACGGAGGGACTTAGCAGTCTCTATTAGCACGCGTCCGCATGAGCGTCTGTGTGTTTTGGGGATCAGCTCATCCAGACTTTAGCCTTTTTGTTAGTTTCTTTAACAAAGAACATTGATGGTGGCAGTTAGAGTCAGCAGAGAAACTGGATGTCATTCTGCTGCTGTAGCTCTGCCCTTTAGTCCATCTATACCAGATCAATAGTGACCTATTTAGAGAGACTGATAGAAAGCCTCTAACTTTGATTAAAAGGACAAGAGGTGGACTTAAAGCATAAAAATGACAGAGCTAAAAATAAGAGCTATCTGGTGTGCTAGCAAAAACACTCTTCAGTGTGGAGGCTGTCACTGAGAAAACAGGACTATGTTTTCTATTCTTTTGGAATAAGAGACAGCTGTGCTCTCTGGGAAATCCCATTGGTTCATTCAAGCTAAGAGAGAGCAGGACTTTAAGCAGATAACAGGAAGGTTAAACCATTATCTGTTTTTCAACATGCTGAAGTTGGGAATGTTGTTAGAAATCGCTAAATTAAAGTGAGGCTCTACGTTCACTAGAGAATAATGACTGAAGACAGCCGTTTACAAAAAGTGATGCTAGCTGTATGGACCAGCTTAGACATTAAAAATACTTCAGCTCCTAATGTGAATAACGACACCCGTGACACAGAGTTGATGCTTACCAAGATTTTTGAAAGTTTATCAATTAGAAACAAAAAAAAAATAATAAATTTCTAACTGTATGAGAAATTGCCAGAGCGACGGTAGCTGCACACTGCAGTTCAACTGGCTTATAAACAGAGCATTACCTCTATGACTGTATCATGATCTATGCTATAAAAAGAATTAGTATAAAGGTTATATGCATTATTTAATATCATTCTAACTGTGTGGAAATAATTGTATAATCCATACTCAAACAGTGTAACTAAGGTTATTTAAGCCAAAGTTAACCTGAATCTCATTCTTAGTTGTAACTGTAAAGATTTTTGTTCATAAAAGCATATTTTTTAAAGTTAAGCCAAATTCATGTGTTTTGTTAGTCTATACTTTAATTAACATTGATTTTTGTCTTACGCCTTTTATATGGTGTATACTGGTTACTTATTCTCCAAGTGCACATTATTTATATTTTTAAAACACTTTACAGTGCAGTATTTTATTGTTTATCTTTTAACTCCTCACTATTATGTTATTCTTATACACTTTTCTAAGGTCCACATTGTGTGACCATTTTTTCTATAATCTTTTAGCTGCTGTTAACACCAGAATGTCTCCATTGTGGGACAATAAAGAGATTTTCTATTCTATTCTGTTATATAATA